AATTAAATGTTTAGCTTGGAAAATAAATATTTAGGTCAGAGCTAAATGTTTAGTTAGCAAATTAAATATTTGGTTTAGGAATTAATTGTTTAGCTCACAAATTAAATGATTAGTTTTGAAAATAAACATTTAGCTTTGGAAATAAATATTTAATTTACACCTAAATATTTTGTTCACTTTGTAAAGTAGGCAGCACGGTGGCGCAACTGGTAGAGCTGCTGCCTCTCAGCGAGCAGGTCCCTGGTTCAAACCCCGGTCCAGGGGCCTCTCTGGGTGGAGTTTGCATGTTCTCTCAGTGCATGCGTGGGTTTTCTCCGGGTACTCCGGTTTCCTCCCACAGTCCAAAAACATGCATGTTAGGCTGATTGGTAACTCTAAATTGTCCCTAGGTGTGAGTGAGAGAGTGAATGGTTGTTTGTCTCGTTTGTCTCTATGTGTCCCTGTGATGGACTTGCGACCCATCCAGGGTGTACCCCGCCCCTCGCACAGTGATTGCTGGACATGGGCACCAGCGACCCCCGTGACCCAAAATGGAATAAGCGGGTAAAGAAAATGGATGGATGGATGGACTTTGTAAAGTAAGCATTTAGCTTGGCCATAAACATTTAGTTTGTAAACAAAATATTTAGTGTGGAGCTAAATATTTAGTTTGCTAACTAATTGTTTCACTTGCAACTTAAATATTAACTTTGTAAACTAATTTTTAACTTGTAAAACAAATATTTAGTTTGGAACTATGACATTTATAAATGTATGAATAACATGGTGAAAATATGACTTTGAAAACAAAAATCCAATTTTTTTCTTATGAAAGGCTAAATAAACCAAAAATATTGCTGTTAATTTTTGACTGTGTAACTTTACAAACGGCACCACATAGGTTTCTGACAGCTTGAAGAAAAATCTTTTAGTTTTGAAAACCGATCGTTGCAGCAGCAGTCTGCGTGGCTGGTCTCAGACCATGGAGGTGAAGATGCTGGATGTGGAGGTTTTGGGCTGGTGTGGTCTGCATTTGTGAGGTCGGCTGGATGTACTGTCAAATCCACGGAAACACCTTTGGAGACGGCTTGTGGTAGAGAAATGAACATTCAGTTCACAACAGCTCCGATGGATAGTCCTGCAGTCAACATGACAATTGCACGCTCCCTTAAAAGTGGTGACATCTGTGGCCTTGTGCTGTGATAAAACAGCACATTTTAGAGTGGCCTTTTATTGTGGGCGGCCTAAGACACACCTGTGCAATAATCCTGCTGTCTAATCAGCATCTCGATATGCCACACCTGTGAGGTGGATAGATTATCTCGGCAAAGGAGAAATGCTCACCAACAGATTTACGCATACGTGTGAACAATATTTGAGAGACAAAGGCCTTTTGATTAAAAAGTCTTTGATCTTTGAGTTCAGCTCATAAAAAAATGGGGGCAAATGCGAAAGTGTTGCGTTTAAATATTTGCTCATTATAATAAAATATATACAGACCTTTTTTCAGGTGCTGTATTCATTAAATGCCTCTTTGTATGCTTCTTGTTTTCTGCTCAGCGGTGGAGGAAGGGGAGTCCTCAGAGTGTGGCGGGACCTGGGAGGAGTCTGCTGTTCTGACAGGTTGGTGCAGAAACACTGACGTTTGAACGAAGCGCCACAGTAAATATTAAACATCAAGTGTTATTCGTTTGTAAAATCATCTCAGTGTGACTTTTATTGGCCACCTCAGAAGGAGGTTATCGTGGAAAACGTGCAAAGGTTTAGTGAACAGGAAGGCGTTGAACTGGTTAAACTACTAGAAAAAGAAGACTTTTAGAGTTGGAAGGATGGGGAGATGTGGAAAGAACTTTCTCCAGAGAGAACTTTTGATTCGTGTGTCTGTGGTTTGATATCTTGGTATGAAGTGAATCCTCTGGGAAATGCCAACTTATCATGGTGGAGGAGTTTGTGTGCCTGATTGATCTGAGGAGCTTTGCTGTTGGAGGCAGCCACCCCTGGTAGGGTCTCCCAAGGAAGATGTCAATGAGCAACTGGTGACTGGACTTCTACCCATGGTTCCCAGTTGGGCTCAGTCTGAATGAATTACATGGGTTTGCCTTTTGTGGGCCCACCACCTGCAGGAAGGGCTATATGAGTAGGGTGCATGATGTCAGGGGCAGCAGCCAGAGTTTTGTTATCCAGGAGCGTTTTGGAGTAGAGCCGCTGCTCCTCCACATCGAGAGGAGCTAGTTGAGGTGGTTCGGGCATCTGTTAAGGATATCCCCTGGATGCCTTCATAGAGAGGTGTTCTGGACTCAGATGAGACTCTGAGGAAGACCCTGGACACACTGGAGAGACATTATCTCTCAACTGGACTGGGAACACCTTGGAGTCCTCCCAGAAGAGCTGGAAGAGGTGACTGTAGAAAGAGAGGTCTGGACTTCCCTGTTCGAGCTGCTGCCGTCGAGGCCTGACTCAAGAACAAGCTGAATGTAACTGATGTTACTGAGAGTTCAACTTCTTATTCTGTTCTTACTTTTATTTCTGTTTTTGTCTTTTATTAAAACCAGTTTCTATAGTTTCCATCCTGAGGCGGAGCTTTAAAAACATTGCTCAATTTACCTCAGGGGAAAATTAAAAAAACTAATTAACCTACTAGCTATGATTTGTGTGCAAATTGCGCAAAACAAACATAAATATCACAACTTGAGGAATACATTTCGATGGTTTCACAATTCTATTTCTGCTGTACAGACATTTTAAATAAGTAAATGAACCCTGATGATCCCAAAAGGCTCAAGGAGTCACTAAAAGATACACAATAAAAATGATTTGTTTCACACAGTAACTGCAGTGACTCCCGCCACTCGGAAAGGATGAAGCTGGTAAGGGTGATGGATGGATGAATGTTCAGGTTGTTAAATATTTAGCTGATATGAAGCTTGTTGAGAAGTTTTACATCTGCAGGCGTTCAAGTCAACTTTGGTTCAAGGTTTATTTAGTTATTTCAGCATTTGGCACCGACAGCACAGCCTTGACTTGTCTAGAGTCACTTTGAAACATTTGGTCAAACCGGTTTACACAGTGGACTCACAAAGCATTCAACAAGTGTCAGTGACCCAACTGACACAGGATGGAAGGATTGGTCAACAATTCATGACCCAATGGTCTTACTGTTGTGATCATTAACCCTTTACCATCTAAGAAAAAATCACCTAAAAATGTGTAGTTGGTGACGCGCTCTTAATAAAGAGGTTCAAATGTTTAAACCCAGAACAAAATCAATCAGGTCATAGTAGTTTAGGATCATAATTGTGCCATAATATCTGCTAATTAAAACCAATTAGCAATAACAAATAGTATGTGACGGTCCCTTAGCTGCTGTCAGTTGTTGGACTCTGGACAGGACTGACATCTGTCAGAAGGTCAGAAACAAATCAGACCAACATCTGACAAAAGGTTAGAGGCTTTGCTGAAATAAACAAGATGAACTGCAGATGATTGGTGGATCACAGCATGTTCAGCTGTGGGGTTGAATTATTTAGTTGTTTACAGGTCAGAACTGTTAAGAGGCTAAATTAAAGTAGTTAAAACGGAACTGGGACGTCCCTTCCGTGAAAAAGACTGGTCATGAGTTTCTGTAAGTATACTTGATATCATTTGCTCCAGAGTTCAGAGATGTTGTCTTCATTTATTTCAGGTATGAATCTGTAGCCCATATGTTTGAGATGTTCACCTGAAAACTTTCCATGCTTTGAGGACAGATTGGAACAATCAGGACTCATGAGCGTAACAATAGGCGGGCAAGTCTTAACAGTGATCATAACTGAAATGAGATTAGGCATTAAGATTCTAAGCATGTCTACTTTTGTCATTTTTTGTTCAGCAAATAGAAAATATCATGGCACTTTATCCAGATCCAAAAAAAGTAAAAAAAATAATCAAAACATGATGAATTCAAAACATGGATTTACCATGTCCCAGATGACACGGCAGTGTCTACACCATCACTTTTTCCAGATGTTTGCAGAAAACGGTTAAAAGAAATGTAGGTGGGTTCCTGCTCTGGTTTCCAACCTATCAGAGAACAGTTAAAGACTTCCTCTGACCCCTTTCCTGCAGGGAAATTAGATCCTGCTGAATGTGGTAAATATGCAGTTACTCTCCTGCCCTGTCTTTCGTTGGGCTCTACGGGGATGGGAGGAAAGGATCACTCCGAGGGTTTCTGTGATGTTTTAAACCCCCTCCCGCTCTGTCTTTCTTCAAACCGGTGCTAACCCACCTCCAGGGGCCCCGATGCAGCCCCAAGTCTGTTTTTGTATGAGTGTATTTTTGTGAGTGTGTGTGTGTCGTTGTGGGGTGCTGACTTTGGTCCTGGGTGGCTCACTAGAACTGCTGTGTGCGCCAGTTCCTGCAGGAAGCTGGACTCCCATGACACACACAAACGCACACGTACGCACACATCTTAAAGTCTTCCTCCCATGAAAACATACAGTCCCATTATTCTCTTGCTCAGCCTTTTTTAATGTTAGCGTCTATGGCCTGCCCCCTGCGCAAACTGTTCACTGTTTGATCGTGTGTGTGCTGTTTGTGTGTAGGATGACGGGTGCAGAGTGAGAATCTCTGCCGATTCCCCAGATTCGGACAGAAAGAAACTTCATTGTTCTCTTCGTACCAATGGAGTTGCACCGACAAATATGTGATGACAGAGAGGACCAGAGAAACATCAGAAACTTGCGTCTGTTCGTTCTTTTTCTCTGCTCATGTTTTTGTTTCTGGCCCTTTCCGTCTATCTTTTGCTTTCTCTGGAAAATCTGTGTTGAGTTCATAAAGGCCCGCAGGAGAGAAGTCGGAGGGAGGCCTGAAGGGAATAGCATTAAGCCAATCTTCCTCCCTCTTTTTGCTCTCCAGTCCTTCCTGGCCTTTGTGTCCTAGTTAGGAGACCACTCAGACAAAAGGGACGCCCCTTCTTTTTCTGCTTCCCACCGTCATGCTGCACCTCAAAGAGGCAGAAAAACATCTTGCTCTCATCTTCTCTTGTTCTCTCTCTCCTTCCCTTTCTTTAGTTTTGGAACAAATAGGTCCGTTTCCCTGGTCTTCAACTGTTCAGATATGGGACAGAGGTGGCTCATGTCAAGTCACGGTCCTGTAGAATCTGATGAAACCTCTTAAGCAGAAAATAATCCTGCTTTCTTTTGAGCCGTGTTTCTCCTTTCCGCTGTAGAAACACGTGCACAGTTACTGTTTGTGTTCGTGCAGACACTTGAATGAGTCATCATGGAAAAAGTTTATCCTCTCCCGAGTGTCTAGGCTGTTTAACTGGTGGCCCAAGGGTCACATCTAGGGTGCAGATGAGTTCAGTCTGGCTCAACAAGGACTTTATTTTAGCTAGAATTCAAATCAGGAAAAAAAAAAAAAAAAAACTGAGCGAAACATTTAATAAATAAAAAATGACAAAAATTTCCAACAGAAAGGGGATGCTGTTAAATAGCTGTTCTATGATGAGACTATACAGGTACAACCTAGTCTTCCAGCAAATGGCTTAATTTAAATAACAACTAGACATCAAATAATAAACTGAATTCACGTAATGACAATATTTGCTGGATGTCCAGGCACCTGAGCTGCCAGCTTTCAGTAACTGAGGACCTCTAAACAGTGTAGTTGAATAGCTCTGCCCTGAAAAAGAGAAACACAGAGGCTGACCAGATTGTTGTTACTCTGTATCCTTATGTCACAGACACTATGAATGTATTCTACAACTATACCAGAAAAAAACAGCACTCATCACAGTACACACCAGCTCCTGTCACAGGACACACCTGTTACAGGACACACCTGTACCCATCAGAGGACTCCAGCACCTGTTACATGACACACCTGTTACATGACACACCTGTTACAGGACACACCTGTACACATCACAGTACACACTAGGGTGCACATCGGCCCTGATTTCCTTCATTTTGGGAAATTGGAAATCGGCCGATACTTGCATGAGAAACTGGTTTTACTGATTTTTTTTTTTTAGTTTTAACAACATGTCTGAACTTCATTTATATTTCAGAGCACTGCCTCATGGCCAGTTAAAACAAGTTTGAATTGTTTCTAGGATAATGTTCTATGTTTTTCAATAAAATAATATTGGAAAATTGAAGGTGCATTGTGAACTTATAACAGCTGACAGTGTCTCTTAGAAAACAAAATCGGTATCGGCCAATATTGGAATTGGCAGGTCAAACTTATTAGAAATCGGTGATCGGCCAGAAAACTGCAATGGGTGCGCCCCTAGTACACACCAGCACCTGTCACATGACACACCTGTACCTGTTACAGAACACAGCACCACTCTCAGGACACCAGCCTGTGCAGTCTGATGTTGACCTGCTGGTCACTGTGGTGGACTTGCGACCTGTTCTCGGTGTACCCCACCTTTTGTACAGAGACGGTAGATGATGGGCACCAGCGACCTTTAAAGGAAAATCAGGTTTACCAAATAATAGATGGATGTTTAGTTTTGTTAGTTGGTTTAAAGAAAATTATTAGTGTATAAAGAATTTATAGACTTTTTTTTAGTTGTATGTTAAAACATAATTATTTCTGCCCTACTGATTGACTGATAGGCAGAGTTGTAAATAAAA